CTGAAAGTCAGCAGTTCAAAACTACCAGCAGTTCTTCTGCAGGAGAAAGATGACACTTTCTGCTCCTTTAAAGATTTACAGCCTCAGAAACCCAATACAGGGCCGCTATGAGTTGGAACCGAATCCATGGCACATAACCACCACCACCACACTTAAGAGAAAGTTTCAGAGTCTCTTTTGACATCCACTTTGGTCTTTTCTTTCCTTCCTGTCTTTTAAATGACCTTTTGCTGTCTTTCTGTATGATGTTCTTGATTTCATTCTACAACTCTTGTGGTCTTTGGTCATTATTGTCTAATGCATGAAATCTGTTCTTAAGATGGTCTCTAAATTCAGGTGGGATATACTTAAGATCATATTTTGGCTCTCATGGACTTGTTTTAATTTTCTGTAGCTTTAGCCTGAACTTGCATATGAGCAATTGATGGTCATAACATAGTCAGTCATAACCTTGTTTTGGTTGATGATATTATCTCTTCTCACAGATGTAGTCAATTTGATTTCTGTGTACTCCATCTGGAAAGGTCTAGGTGTATAGTCATCTTTTATGTTGTTGAGAAAAGGTATTTGCAATGAATAAATCATTGGTCTTGCAAAATTCTATCATGCAATTTCCAGATCATTTCTGTCACCAAGGCTACATTTTCGAACTATATAGATCCTTCCTCTGTTTCAACCTTTTGTATTGATCACCAGTAATTATCAATGCTTGTATTGATCACCAGTAATTGATTGCATGTTTGATCAGTTTCAGACTGAAGAAGTTGGTAGAATTCTTCAATTTCATCATTATTGACTCTAGTGTTTGATGTGTAAATTTGAGTTATATGGTTGTCTTACTTATTTAATGCTGCTGTGGGTTAATTCACTAGACTGCAAAGTCGGTTTGAACAACAAGGTCAGTGGTTCAAGCTCAACAGCCACTCCTTGGAAACTATAAACAGGAGTGCTATGGGTCAGAACGGACTCAATGGCACTTAACAACAACAAAAAAAAAATAACAGAAGTACCACAGGTATCTCTTTAAGAACTAGAAATTTATTCTCTCATGGTTTAGGAGGCTAGAAGTCTGAATTCAGAGTACTGGTTCTGGAAAAAGGTCCTTGTCTCCTTGAGCATTTGTAGGCCCAGAATTCCTTGGAGTTCTCTATATGTCTTGGCATCACTCTTCCTCTGGATCTAGGAGCATCGCAGTACAGGAACCAAGGTCCAAAGGACACACTACTCCAGACTCTTCTGTCTTGGTGGTGGTAGATCTTTCCTTCTCTGTTCAAGTCTCTCTCCTTTTATCTCTTGTTAATCCCACCCTTAATCCCCTTATTAGTTTATCACATCAAATCACATCTTGGGGGATAGCTACATCTCAACTGCCAAACCACAGAGAATCCTGGCCCAATCAAGTCAACACAAAAACCTTTATTGTCACAGTGGTATTAACTCATATTCCTTATAGAATATGGATATTATTCTACCACAGATAGTATTATACTTTTAGATCTTGAAATATTCTTTATGATGATGAATGTGATACCAGTATGTTATCCTAGGCATAGTAAACCATTGGATTGTCAGATTCAAAATGGACAATACCAATCCATTTCAGCTCACTAATGCCTAGAATATTGATCTTCATGTGTTCCATTTCATTTTTTACAACTTCTAATTTTCTAGATTCATACTTTGTACATTCCATGTTCTGATTAAAGGGTTGTTTACAGCAATTGTTCTTCTCATTTTGAGTTGTGCCCATGAGCAAATGAAGGTCCTGAAAGCTTAACTCCATCCACATCATTAAGCTGCTCTACTTTGAGGCAGCTCTTCTCCAGTCATGTTATGAGTACCTTCCAACCTGAGGGGCTCATCTTCTGTCACTTTATATGATAATGTTCCACTTTTAGTCATAAGGTTTTCAGTGGTTAACATTCAGCAGTGGTCTGCCTTTTCTTCTTCCTAGACCGTCTTAGTCTGGAAGCTCCACCAAAACCACTTGGTGACACTGCTGGTATTTTATTTATTTTTTTCCCTGCTGGTATTTTAAGTATCAGTGGCATATCTTCCAGCATCACAGCAACACACAAATATGACAAACTGACAGATGAGTGGTAGCCCTGGAAAATGGCTGCTGTGAAATAACTTGAAAGTCCTGGTTGTCAAGGTCACCTGTCACATCAACCTAAATCTTATCATAATGTGTAGCCCTCTTCTTCTTGTTACTGTCATAGTAAAAATTGAAAACAACTGATTACCATTTATATTTTCTTTGTTAAAATTCATCTCTTCCTTTTTCCTACATAAGTTTAATAGATTTGGTACCTTTACCTTTTTCTCAGTACCATTCTTACTTTCTCTTTCTTTTGATTTGTCTTTGCATTCTGAAATCTTTTTCACATGTATTTCTTTCAAATTGAAGTCTGTGGCATTGGGCCCAGCACCCCATCAGAAAAGTTATTATAAATTTTATAGTGAGGGATTCCCCCCACCCCCAGGAAGATACCATTCATAATCTGTATTAATTTGTTTTTTTCTAATTTTCATTTTGCTTATGTTCAGGGACATCTCACTTACCAAGCACAGGGGATGGGTTTAGTTTCTCCACCCAAGATGGACAGTACACTCTTATTTCCAGTAATAGAAGTGGAGGCATATACCTACACATGCATTTCAAGGGATTTCCCAAAGCTTCATATGCTTAACCCATGAATAAATGTGTGATAATTAGACTTTGCATGAAGTTGAGATTTTCAGAGTCAACCACTCCATTCCTTCCTTGCCTGCCTCAGAGAGCAGAACAGTGTGAGACCTGGCTTGTTTCTACTCTTTAATGAGCTTGGTGAAACTGGGAATCTACTGAGGAGAACAGTAAGTAGTTCACTCATCATGGTCTCTAGGCTAGTGCTTGACAGGGATCTAGAGGACCAGCCAGGGAAGTTTGCTGCCCAGCACAAAAGAAGGTTTAATGTGTTCTTGTAGGCTCTCCAGCCAGACTGTGGGTTTGGGGACTGAAGGAGGAGTAATAGTTGCAGATCTTCACTAGCCTAATCTTTAGCTTTCAGAAGGAATAGGAGAGGCATCTCTCCAATGTGCTGGGCTGGCTGTGATTATTTCTAGGGATCCTTTGAATCAAAAGGACCAAACCAAAATTTTAATTCCTTGGAATGCTGCAGACCCAAGTTATCCCTGGGAAATGTATTTATTTTTAGCTCACTGAGAAGGTAGGTAAGCCAACAGCCTTTACAGTCTTAACACTTATTTTTGTCTACAGTATTTTCCTTTTCTACTTCAAGCCTAGTTTGATTTTTATCAGCTGATCTCTTCTAAGCCACTTGAGTTGGAAACTATGCAATGCCCCTCCTCTTTTTGCAACTCTCCCAAATGCTTTTTGAAGCATTTATCCTTCCCCTTGTGACTCCTTAAGTTTGGACTTCTAAGAGGTAAAATAACTATATTGACTATGAAACAAGTGTAATAACAGTATACTGGAGACCCTAGCCAGAAAGAGTTGGCAGTCCTTTCCTAAGGTAATATGGGCAGTCAGCCATAGAGGTAGAAGATTAAATGGGGGTTTTCTAAATATAGATCAAGATATGAGCCCATTAAGACAGGACTTCCACTCATTAAGAGAGCTTAGAATAAAAGTATAATCAGAAACAACAAAACTAACTTTAATAGGAAGAAATATACAATCCTGCATTAAAGCTTAACAAATCATTTGTAAAATGGTAGAGACAGTAATTCATGTGACAGATGTCTAAGGACTTGAGTTGACTACAAGCTCATTAGGAATGAACTCTGTGGCACTGTGAGTAGGTGTAGGGTTGCTAAGAAAGGTAACACCATCTTAGGTTTTATTCCTAGAAATCTAGTGTTCCATTCAGGGAGGTAATGCTGTTTGGCCGTATCTCATCTGATGAGTCAGATTCCATTCCAGGTGCCACTCTGTAAGAGGGGCACTGGCATATCAGAGTGCCTCATCATTTGATGGGGATTCTGTCTGAAAACTATGTCATGAGGAATGACTGAAGACTTGAAGTTGTTTAGGCTGGATAAAAGAAGACTGATAAGAAAGAAATACATGAAGGCTAACTTTGACTATTTCAGGAGTCCTAGTGTGACACTGTAGGATAACTATTAGACTGCTAACCACAAAGTTGGCAGTTCAAACCCACCAGTCACTCCTTGGAAACCCTGACTCAACGGCAATTAACAACATCATGGGCAAAACTAGGGCAGCTAAAGCTAAAAAAATTTTTTTTAACTATTAGAGATATTCAACAGTAGAATAAGCTGTCTCAAAAACTCATGAGAACCCATCACTAGAGTTGTATAAGCAAAAGGGAGTTGTATAATGTGAAAGGGAGACTGGGTGACAGTCTCTAAGGTCCTTTCCAAAGCTCACTCCTTTTAGGTTTGTGTTTTTCAGGCCATGCTGGATGTAACCCTGGGGTTTGCACGAGTGTGCAAAAGGACATATAACGCCATGGATAAACATGTTCCTCAATCATTACTGTTACTAGAAAAACTTGGAAGATGTTTTTATATTAAAAGTAATATAGATCTAGTCTAAATAAAAATGAAATAGGGGACTTCAAGAAATGTCCACTTGCCGTAGCTCTCTCCAGCCATTAGGAGTGTATCCATGGAAGTGTTTGAAAGCTTCTGCTCTAACAATCCCATTCCCTAGGAGTAGAGGTAAGGCCAGGAACGATCCTGCAATCTTGACACAAATTAAATAAAAAGTGGGAAGAAGGACCTCATAACAAATACTAAGTTGGATAAATATTTCTGGCTCTCTGGTTAAGAAAAGTCCTCTACAGAAATGGTACCCACACTATATTATTAAAGTTAATTTCTCCTATGTCTTAAAAAAATGGCACTTAGGCTATGGAAAGGATTCAGGCAGAGAACTACATAGGGACAATGTTTTTTTACCCTATAGACCTGAGGAGGGTTTTCATGGTATCCACTCCTGGCTTAATTCTGTGTTTTGTTTTTTTCACTAGAAAATGGTCCACAATGTGCATAACCACATCACCAATGACAAGAGATTCAATGGGTCTGAAAGGTATGGTCCTCTAGAGGGAAAATCATTCAAAAAGAACTTTGCTAAGGGGAGGGAAGTAAAGAGAGATGATCCAATCCAACAGTAAAGCTAGGGCTTTGATCTCACCATTGTCCCTTACATCCTGCCTTGGACCATGGAGGAATTTACATAAAGCTGATTAGTGCTGGGTATTTCTGTTTGACTCTTAAAAAGCCGCCTGCCTTACTCTCTTCTTTTTGTTATAGCATCAAGTCCTCTTGGAATATTTCAGTAGTGAAGTTCCTTCTGGAAAAGCTGAAGCAGGAGCTGGTGACCAGTCCCCACAATTACACTGATAAGGAGCTGAAAGGTAAGAAAAAACAAATTAATTTCCATCCTATCTTTTCTGTCTACTTCCCTCAGCCATGTTCTTCGTCAGAGGAGAAAAGGAGTAATGGAGATGATTTAAGTGGTTTTGAAAATAGTGGACTTCAAAGTATTCTGTTTGTCTAGTCTTCTAATCTACAATATACACAGGTTTAGATCTATTTGCCTTTTCCCTGCCTCCTCATTCTGAAATGAGAATGAGAGAAGAGAAGGGCTAGAATACCATCATATTTTATGTTTATGCAGGACCTAAATGTGAGGCATTAGGGAAAAGTCAGACGTCAGGCCTGCCTTTTTATCCTTAAATGTTATGTCCTAGGTTTTCTACTTGCCTTGCTATCTTCTGTGATGATCTCATAGCTAACCCTGCAGCATTAGGAACTGTAAAACTTCTACTGAAAGGGTACCTGTAATCAACAGAGTTGTTGTTGTTATGTGCCGTGGAGTTCCAACTCATAGTGACCCTGCATAGGGTTTCCAAAGCTGTAAATCTTTATGGGAGCAGAAAGCCTCATCTTTCTCCCGCGGAACAGCTGGTAGTTTCGAACTGCTGACTGTGAGATTAGCAGCCACTAGCAATGGGAATACTGAAGCACTAGCAATGGGAATACTGAAGCAATTGGAATTGTCTTTTTCCAGTGGGAGATATGAGAAGAGTTAGTGTTGGAGATGGAGGTAGGGAAAGAAAGCTGAACCAAAGAGGGGTAAACAGACACTGATGCTGATAGGAATACCAAGAAAGCCAATGCCATCTTCTAAATAGTGATTCTCAACCTCCCCATTCAGTAATGTTGGGGTGGGGGGAAAAAAGGCTGAGGACCACTGCTTTTTTTTTTTTTTAATGTTTTATTGTGAATTATGTGATAGTTTACATGGGAGAACATTAGCTTTACGGACCACTGCTTTTTGTCCCTTTCTTCCTCTTCTCCTCCAACCCAGGAGCCTGTGTGGCCTATTTCCTTACCAAGAGGCGTGAGTACCGAAACTCCTTGAACCCCTCTAAAGGCCTGAAGGAAAAAGAGGAGAAGAAACTTCGAAGTCGTCGGTACCGGGTAGGCCTTCTTCTCACAATGTTAAACCCTAAACCACAATAAGCCACAGTGGGAAGTACCAGATGACCTGACATTGGAGAATAGGATTGAGAACTAAGATTCTAAGCAAATAGAGGAAAAGGAGGGTGAGCCAGTTCAAAGATTTGACTTGGGAATGGGGTTCCATCAGGCACAGATTTTATATACCTTTCTTCCCCAACTAAATACTTTCTCCAAATCTAATCCATAGTCTGTTTCTCTTCCTAATATCTGTCCTGGGCTCCTACCATAGCTTTTTGCCAACCGATCCAGTATCATGAGGCATTTTGGACCTGAGGATCAACACCTGTGGAAAGATGTGACCGAAGAGCTGATGTCAGATGAAGAGGACAGTCTTAATGAGCCAGGTGTCTGGGTGGCCCGCCCACCTCGATTCCGGGCCCAGTGCCTCACAGAGCTCTGCTATCATCTGGATGCTAACTCTAAGCATGGCACCAAAGCCAACCGTGTGTATGGGCCTCCCTCAGATAGATTGCCTTCTGCTGAGGTCCAGCTCCTTCCACCAGAACTTTACAATCCTAACTTCCAAGAAGAGGAAGATGAGGGAGGTGATGAGAATGGACCTATCTCCCCATCTTTTGACCAAACCCAAAAAACTTTCTGTCCTGACTTGAACTCATTCATTGAAATCAAGGTGGAAAAGGATGAATGAAATCTGTACACAAGAATTATTTGGACTTTGAATACTCTTCATAGTCCAGAAATCAGTGGCTTCCAAGAATAATGAAATGCTCTTTGCAGTCTGAGAAAGTAGATTTGCCTATCTTCTTAACACAGCCCCTGCTGGAAGTGATAGCTCTTGCAGAATAAAATAGCTTAATATAGAAAGGGGATGGCAAGCCAGAAGATGCTGGTTCCTAAACATAAACACAGTGCCTGGGAGGAGCCTGGAATGAGGAAAGCAGTTTGATGGGTCTAAAAACATGAGGCCTTCTTGACATTTGCTTTGGTCTCTTGAGTTTCTCTTCAGGTTTCACCCTCAGCTCTGGGGAAGCAGCCCTGGTTGTACCTTCTGCTTCCCCGGACTGCTGGTCTTGCTCTGCAGTGGAAGAGCAGGACCAGCCCTGAGTAATACTGCCATCTGGTGGATGGTTTCAGTCATGGGCCTAATTCTTTTGAGCAGGAGACTATGGGCTTCATTCCTATTTGGGAATTGGAATTTAGATATAATAGTTACTGTTGACTGAATTATGTAAGGCAGATCTTATTATTCCCATCTTATAGATGAGGAAATTAAGACTTAGTGTTTTCATGTCTCACCAGCAGCTGCATTCCCAAAACTGCATGATTACACAGTTTTGTAGTTATTTCTTACCCTTGTCAAGCCAAAGTATATTTTGGAGAAGGGGTGTGGGTGTGAATGTGTGTGCGTATGCACAGAAGTTGTGCATCTTGAATGTATTGAGAAGTAAACATGACTTTTGATTGATTCATTCATTCATTCAACAAATATTGATTGCTTACAAGGCACAATGCTAGGTGCTACTGATGCAATGTTGATCACAGATTTTATTGTCTAGTCAGGAAGCCAGGCATTAAGTAATCAATGAAATGAATTGTGATAAGGATAATGATTGGGGGAGTGCAGAATGCAATGGAAGCATATAGCAAGGCTATCTAACCTACTCTTAGGTCAAGAAAGGCTTCTCAGAGAGTGATGTTTAAAGTGATACTTAGAAGATGGGGATGAGCTAAGCAGAAGGAAAAGAGAGTGTTCCAGACTTGGGTAACAGCACGTGCACAGCCCTGAGGCAAGAGAGAACTCAGGAAAGTCCAATATTGCAGAATAGCTTGGGGAGGGGATACTATAGGGAGACCTTGTAAACCGTCTTCTCATAGCTGAAGGGCAGTGAGAAATCATTGAAATATTTTAAGCAGGGAAATGAGATGATCAGTTTTGTGTTTTAGAAGAATCACTTGACCTCAGGGTGTTAAGAATGGATTGGTTGGAGCAAGCCTCAGCAAGGAGACTTTACACTGGTTCTGGAGAGAAAAGGTGGTGCCCTGGCATACACAGGGGTGATGAGGACAGGTTTAGGAAGCAGAATTGATGTGTTTTGGTGATTGCTGAGATTTGAGCACTAAAGGAGAGGGAGGACACAGGTTGATGCTCAGGTTTCTGGCTTAAAGATCTAAGAGTTTATTGCTAAGAGGGAATGCTAGAGGAGCCAGTTTCTGGGAGCCAGGGACAATAAGCTCAGTTGAGTGGGAGGTGCCTTTGAAACACGTGGAGATGCTAGTAGTCAGGTGAGTTTTTAAATCCAAAAATCTGGGCTAGAGATAGGGATTTGGAGTTGTCTGTATACAGATGGAAATTGAAGTCCTGGCAGTGGAGAAGAGCAATTGTGGAGCTCTCAGGTCCATTCATACTGCGAACAGTTGCCCCAAGATCGTGAACACTACTGGTTTACTACTTATCAATGCACACCGGTTCCCCTTCATTTGTCACTGCTTTCTGGTATTCCCCATTGAGTTGATTCCAACTCATAGTGAGCCTGTATAAGGTTTCCATTCTAATCCTGTAAGTCTCTATGGGAGCAGAAAGTCTCATCTTTTTACCAAGGAGCAGCTGGTGGATTTGAACAGCCCAATGTGTAATCCACTATGCCACCAGTGCACCTAACTACTGATGGGCCTCTTTTAATGTCTTTTCAACTTTTCATAGGATTTATTCTCTCATCTTTACCCCCAAAAGATCAAAGTTTCCAAATATTAGTAGCCGAGTAGATATTTTGGATATAAGTAATTGGGAAAAAGAATCCAGTCCCCTTCCCAAGACCCCGTCAAACACTGGGCAACAGGAAAGGAGGGGCAGCTTTAGAGTTAATTCTGAAGCCATTATTCACTGCACTTTCTGGAGGCAACCTTCTAGTCCCTCTCCATCACTATCCCTTTGAGTCTTCTCTCCTTCCAGGCTGATAGTAAACTCTCCTCAGGATCAGAGAAAAGCTGAAGACTTAACCAGGGAAATGGAGAGACTGCTTCTCCAGAGAGATGGGGTCAGTGAGACAATGCCGCTAGGATAACGAAGCCAAATAGTTTGTGCCAAATTAATTTCCCAAAGGATATCAGCCTCCTTTCCTTCTCCATTCCCTAAGGCTATACTCTAATATTATAAAAGGTGTCTAAATGTTGACATGGGCTTGTTTGCATATAATTTTCATATTCTTATACTAACTAAATACAAAGTCATTTTCCATTCGTTGTACTCCCTCCACTTCTTGGCCCTCATGTGCTAATCTAGACAAAATAAGTTGATTGGTTTTTAATTAGGTATGTTCAGCCTCAGCCATGGTTATTCTTGATCCCATTAGTTCATCAAATATCAGCCTCTTTTCCTTCTCCACCCTGATCATTTATTTTCATTTGGTATTTCCTACAAATAACATTTCTTTGGTTCCTTTTAATAGGTATTCTTTATTATCAATCTCCTGTGGACCAATCAGGGGGTGGGGAGAGGGAAGAGACTGTCACTAGCTCCAAGACTGTCACAGGCCTTCTGAAACGCTGTGGGTTAAGGTGCTGGACTGCAAGGTCGGTTTGCACCACATGTTAGGCGGTTCAAGCTCACCAGCCGCTCTATGAGTCGGTACTGACTCAACGGCACTTAACAACTCCTGTGTTGTGTGCAATTAAGTCGGTTTCCACTCATATTGACCCTGTATGGGGTTTCAGTGTGCGGACTGTGGGTATGAACTGACTTTGCCGTTACCAGTCCAATACTTATCCTACAGTGCTACACCACGGCTCTCTATGTTATTAAGTGCACCGGAGTCTGTCTGACCGATAGTGATAGTGACCCGGTATAGGGCTTTCTAGGCTTTTAATTCTTCGCTGGAACATGTCTCCCACAGAACAGCTGGTGGGCTCCAGCTGCCAACTGGTTCGCAGACCAGTGCTTATCCTACAAAGCTATTGCACTCCCTCTATCCCTGTGGTGATGATGGTGTGCCGTTGAGTCATTCTGACTTATAGCTACCCTGGTACAACGTTTCTGAGTCTGTAAATCTTTATGGGAGCAGAAAGCCTTATCTTTCTCCGCAGAGCAGCTGGTGATTAGAACTGCTGACCTTGCAATTAGCAGCGCAATGCATAATCCACTACTCCATCAGAGCACCTTTCTGTAGTCACCTGAAATACTTGCTAAAAATCTCATTTCCCAACACCAGGGGGTGTGTGTCTATCCACTTATCTGTCCTACTCGGAAGGTAAGCGATTATTGCCAAACCTTTTCCTTACTCCTTTTTTTCTGTTTTTAGAAACATACTAAATCGCACGCGTTCTCAGCACCGTCATAAAAGCTTTGGGTTCAGAATTTCTATTTGCAGTCTATCTGCTTGTCTCTTACTCTCTCTGAATTTACATAAATTTGTCTTTTTCTTAGTCTATCCATCCTTCGATCTCTGCCTCTCGCGCTCCCATTCTTTGGCTACCTGTCTTCCACCACCTTTCTATCTGGGTTTCCTTGCTTTTCAGGACTATCTTCACGTCGGAGCCTCTGACCTTCTTTATATATATATATATATATATATATATATATATATATAGTCGTATATACCGTTTTCTCCTCTCCCTGTCTTTCTGTTTATGTCTCTCTCCTTGTCTCACGACTTCTATATCAGTCTCTTTCCATTTCTTCCACAGTCCTTACACTAAGAACAAAGTCACTGTGTTTGCGCAGAACATTTCTGCCATCGGTCTGCCAGTAGTAACTGATATTTTTCTCTAGTGTCCTTCCGCGCATTCCAACTATAAACAAAGAGTCCCCTTCCCCGATACATACACTCTTTCCTGTTGCAATTCTCGGAGTGATGTAGTAGCTACTGCCCAAACTGCCACAGCTCTTCTCGCTGCCAATCAGCAGATCTCCACCTACAAGACAGCTACAACGCCCTCCCCCAGCCACACACACATACACACACACACACACACCCATCCCGTTTGGCGCACCAGAGATCCCTGCGCAGACACCCTTCTCGCACACGCCGCGCTCCGCCCTTCTCTGAATGTAGATCCGGCCAGGCAGACAAAAGTTTGAGCGAGAAGTTCAGTCTGTGCCGAGTGTGAGAGCGAGGGGGCGGGGGCGTCGACCGCGCGAGTAGACGCGTGAACAGATAGCTTGGTGGACTGGACAGCCGCAACCGTAGGCTTTTCCTGCCCTGCTAAACTCGTGATGTGCGGGGGGACGCAGCCCCTCTCTGTGGGGGATGCTGCGGGATTCCTGGAGCCGGGCATCCTGGCCGCCCGCTAAGCCCCTGTGCCCGTCCTGTGTCCCTGGGGAACCAGAGTCCAGCCTCAGGGGAAGAGAAGCGGCCACTGAGACTCTGCAGGGTGCCAGGCGGGTTGGGGGCTGCAGGCCCCAGAGGGCATGGAGCGGTTAGGGGAGAAAGCCAGTCGCCTGCTGGAGAAGTTAAGACTCTCGGACTCCGGCAGCGCCAAGTTCGGCCGCAAAAAGGGTGAATCTAGCCGGTCCGGGTCCGATGGGACTCCTGGGCCGAGCAAAGGGCGACAGAGTGGGTTAGGGGGACCTAGGAAACCCGGGCCCCGAGGAGCTACTGGGGGACCTGGGGATGAGCCTTTGGAGCCGACTCGAGAGCAAGGCCCCCTGGATGCTGAGCGGAACCCGCGCGGCTCCTTTGAGGCTCAGCGCTACGAAGGTGCCTTTCCCGGGGGGCCTCCCCCGACCCGGGCCTTGCCTCTACCTCAGTCATCGCTCGACATTCGGCTAGAGACCACGGCCCCGGCCTTGAGCCCCCGCTCCAGCTTCGCCAGTAGCTCGGCCAGCGATGCGAGCAAGCCGTCCAGTCCCCGAGGCAGCCTGCTGCTGGACGGGGCGGGGGCTGGCGGCGCCGGAGGTAGCCGGCCCTGCAGCAATCGTACCAGCGGCATCAGCATGGGTTATGACCAGCGACACGGGAGCCCTCTGCCTGTCGGGCCGTGCCTGTTTGGCCCGCCCCTGGCCGGTGCTCCAGCAGGCTATTCCTCCGGAGGGGTTCCCTCTGCCTATCCGGAGCTGCACGCCGCCCTGGACCGGCTTTGCGCTCACCGGCCCGCGGGGTTCGGCTGCCAGGAAAGCCGCCACTCTTATCCCCCGGCATTGGGCAGCCCAGGAGCTCTAGCTGGGGCTGGAGTGGGAGCACAAGGGCCCTTGGAGAGACGAGCGGCGCAACCTGGACGACATTCGGTGACCGGCTACGGAGACTGCGCCGCCGGCGCCCGCTATCAGGATGAGCTAACAGCGTTGCTGCGCCTGGCGGTGGGCACGGGTGGGCGAGAAGCCGGCACCCGGGGGGAACCCTCGGGGATTGAGCCGTCGGGTCACGAGGAGCCGCCGGGTCCGTTTGCTCCGGAGGCCGCCCGAGCCCGGATGCGTGAACAGGAGGCCAGGGAGGACTACTTTGGTGAGTGAGAGAGTAAAATGCTTAAGGACCAGAAGGGACCAGTCTCCGCACTCTGTAGCCCTCTAACACCGACGGCCGAAATTGCCGGTGCCCCGGGATCAGAGGCGGAGACGCGGAGCTAGGTAAAAAGAAAAGAAGGGGCAAAGCGCTTTCTATAACTTCCCACGGGGTTTCAAATAGACCAGGGCTCCTCGTTCTTGCTGAACTCAAACCCCCTGATTATCTCGTGAGTCTAGGCTTCTCAAGCTGTAAAGCCTTGGGTTTTCGCGGTAGGAGGCCTCGTAGGGAGGGGACCCAGAAGGGCAGTGAGCGCATCCCCCTTTTGCTACCCCCCTTCACGGCGGTGCCCCTACAGGCTCCTGCGTGCGGCGCCCCCACCCGGCCCTGGCTCCACCCCCAGGAATTCGGGGAATGCTCGGGTTGGGGGGGCGGGGCGGGCAGGCCGCGTGCGTGCCGGCTCCTGCCCGGGCGCTCCAGGTGCCCGAGGCGGGGCGGGGCGGGCGGCGGCGCTGTGTGGCGCAGGGCCCTTGGAGAGGTGGGGGCTTTATTGCAAATGCCGGGCCTTGGCTGCTGTCGGGGAAATGGTGCTTGGGTGGGAGGATGGAGCACCTTGGAACCAGAAGTGTACTCCTGTCCCGGTCCTGATGGCTCGGTGACTGCGTGGGCATTTAAGGGAAGGAGACCCGGTAGTGCCAACTTTTATTTTCCCTGCCCTCCGGAAGTCAGGGCAGAAGCCATGACCGCTGGGACACCATCACCTCTTGCCAGGATTCATCAGGCCTTGAGTTCTGACTGTAACATGGTCAGAACTCAGGCCAGAAGTTGCCCCTTAGTTCCTGTTGCTGTTCAGGAAACCTGGTCGCTGCCCCTGTCCCCCACTGGGTTACGTTCAACAAGTATTTTTTATAGGTCTCAACTATGGGGGATATTGAGGTGTCTTGGGTGATCTTTTGAACAAAACACACAGGAACCATATAAAGAAATGTTTATCTGATTTTGGAAAGCTCACACCCCAGGGCTGTGGCCTCTTCAGTTTTACAAACAATTCCTTCCACCATTTTTTTCACCACCTGTGCCCTTGCCCTATACCCCTTGCTCTAGAACTCTGTGGCTAGAAACGTGAATGTAGAAACAGTCAAGGAAGGATGCTTGGGTGGGGGGAAGGGGGGACGGGGCCCTACCTACCTAGTTCAATTCCAACTTCCTAAAAAGTCCTCACCCCTTTCCCCTATATCCAACCCAAAGAGGAATGCCCAGAAAAAAGATGATGCTGATCCACTTTGTTTAGAGAGATTGAAAGACACGGGTTCTTTGAGCAGTTTTCCTCTGTGGCCCAGTCGTGGCTCATAGGGGCAAGAAACCTCTCTGGCTAAAGCAAAGAAAAAGACAGGAGCTCAGAGTGCAGTCAAATAGCTCAGAATGCAGAAGAAGCTAGGTGGAAATGTGCTGGGGTACGGAAGGTGAGGTGGACATGTCTGAGCAGTTCTCCTTGTTATCCTGTAATGTCCAAGGCTTCCCAAAGAAGTGGCTCTGACAGGGTCCCCTGACATGACAGTCCTGGGATAGATCTTGCCCCATGGGGGGACTGTATTTGGACCCAGAGGTAGGGGCTTCCTCTCTCTGACAGGAGGCCCTGCAGACCCCTGTGCCTCCAGCCCCAGCTTGACTGTACCCTCTTATTCCTGCCCCTAGTAGGGGCCCTCTTCCTTGGCTATAGCCTTGCCCAGATGCCAGAGGGTGGGAGCAGGACAGGCCTGGGCCCATCAGTTACTGCAGCTGCTGCACGGGCTCCTATGCCTCTGGGCAAAGACTAGGATGGGCCCCAACAGGCAGGGAGTGTGGCAGTGTGCCGAGGGGGCGAGGTGGGGCTGGGTGAGGCGGGCCCGTTGGGATCTGCTCCTCAAAGACAGGCTCTAGCCCTCACTCATGGGCCTGGAATTGGGGAGTGGAGGTAGGAAGGAACACACCCAGGAAAGGCGGGTGCCAGAGCCAGGTGTATGTATTTGGGGATGTAGGGATATCCAGGAAGAGCAATTCAGCTGTCCCTGCCGTGGTGGAAAGTGACAGGGAAGCATTAGGGGTTTTGCCACCCTTCTTTGCCCCTCATCTTACCAATGCAGCCCTCAACCCGTAAAACTGAATAGCAGTTCATTTTACAGTAGGGGAAAAGTAAGGTCCTAGGGAGGTTTTTTGGTCCTGGTCAGCTTTTTCCAGAAGCTTTCTTGAGCCTGCTTGTGGGTTGGCATCTAGACTGGCATTCCTGACAATTTGTGGGCACAGTGCAACAGGGATCATGCTATAGCTTTTTCCAACAAAAACTAAAACATCAAAAAGGCAGGGACCGTATCTTTGACTTTTTCTAGTTTGCTACAGTATTGAGAGCTGTTCAGAAATATGTTGATTAATCAGTAAATAAGAACGGATTCTCTTTCTAGCCAAGATCTTGCCACATCCCATTTCTTACTGTTCCCTCTTCCTAGAAATAAGCCCACCCAGTTGTCCTTCCCTGAGGACTGCCTCTGGTGGTCCTCTGACTGACGTGCTTAGGAAAGAACAAACAGGAAAGAGTGAGTATAAAATGGGGAGTGGGGTGTGATGCTGACAACTTCTCTCCCTTCAGGCACCTGTATCAAGTGCAACAAAGGCATCTATGGGCAGAGCAACGCCTGCCAGGCCCTGGATAGCCTCTACCACACCCAGTGCTTTGTCTGCTGCTCCTGTGGTAAGTGTAGCCTGCCAGGCCTTCTGGACCAGGGCCCAGGCCTCTAGCAACGCCCCCCACCCCCACCACCCCCACACACTCACAAGTGCTCTTCATTTGTTCACCAAGGACAGCTGTTGGGTCCCTACCATATCTGTGGATGACCAGAGCTGCCTCACCTTCTCTTGTTTCCCAGACCTGGCTCTCCAGCCTTCTCATTGGGTCTGCTTTCTGCAGTTTCCCGCTTTATCCCCTTATTCCTTTAGTTGATCTTCCTTCTCCTCGGTCCTCCCTTCCTCTGTCCCTCCCTCTTTCTCCTGTCTTCCTGCTTGCCCAGCCTGGACTCCCGCCCGGACCTCTGGTCTCTCCTTGGTGGGGTTTGGTCTTGGGCAGCTGAGTTGCCCAGGGCGACAGTGAAAGACAGGAATGTGGGAAGGGCGGGGTGGGCTGGGGGAGTGGGGAGCCTTGGGGGGGGTGGGGAGGGGGGTTTTCTCTTGGCTGGTCAGAGTTCAGCCACCTCACTAGAGTGCAGGCCACCGGGCCATGCCAAGCTGATGACATCACGCTCCAGGAATGCCCAGCGCAGCCACCACCGCCACTGCTGTTAGCTCTGGAGGCCTGCTTGGGGTGGGGGTGATCTCAGGAGCCTTAACTCCTCTGCCTTCCCACTGCACCCCCTCCCCACTGCTCTGCTAAACCTTTAATCTCCTATCTGTGCCTGACTCCAGCACTGGGTTTTTCTCTTGCTCCTCTAGCCTCATCTGTCTGTTTGTCCTGTTTATAGGATCCCTTCTAGCTTTGTCTTTCTTTCCCTCTCTTTCCTTCCCTGTGTCTCATGCATTTCCAAATCCGTTTAAACCACTGGGCAGAACTGGCAGTGGAGAACTTGCCTATTCCCTGCTCTCAGTCCTTCCTGTCTCTGACAGTGTGGACACACCCCAGAGCCACTCCTGGGTGTACATCACAAAAGGGGGTGGTCCTGCTTTGTTTGCAGAGGACCCTAAAGATACCAGGTCCCTCTAAGCTTGGAAAAGCAGCCTGGTACAGGAGGAAAGGGAACTGGCTGTGCTCCCAAACAAAGCACTTTGTCCCCAGCAGTAACTCCAATATCTCCTGACTTCTGTGGCTCCTATCCCCAGAGGAAGGGAGATGGGGCTGAGAGCCAGACAGCTTGTGTGAGCAAAGAAGGTCCTAGGGTGAAAGGTCCAGAGGGCAAGGCCTGTGACAATATGTAAATTGTATGGCATCTTGTTCACAGAGCTCCTTTACCTGGTACTCCAGCGGGTGCTCAGCTTTGCTTCCCCAAGTTGCTCTTCATGCTCTGAGGAGTCAGGGGTTGGAGGGAACAGGGAGCGGGGGAGAGGGGAAGTTGGCTGGAATGAGGCCAAAGTAAATTGAACTTGCATCAGATGGGATTGTTGTGTAGCAAGAGAGGACAGCCAGCATTTGGGGTGGGGGGGGAGCCAAATTTAAATACAGCATGCAGCTTCAGGGATGGATGACCCCAGACTAGGGGAAGCCAGGCCCACAATATGTCTCAGCCCCTTTTCTGCTGTTTCTAGGGAGAACTTTGCGCTGCAAGGCTTTCTACAGTGTCAACGGCTCTGTGTACTGTGAGGAAGATTATCTGGTGAGTGAGGGGTCTCTCAGGCCTGGAATTGGCTCCTACCCTGGAAACCCCTTCTTGGTGCACACTGAGGCTCCACCCATTGAGGCATTCACAGTTGGCTAACATCCTTCCGTTGTCTTTTCTTTCTCACCAGTTTTCAGGGTTTCAGGAGGCAGCTGAGAAATGCTGTGTCTGTGGTCACTTGATTCTAGAGAAGGTAAGGAAAACAGTTTCAACTGGGACTGTGAGGCTGAAGGGCCAAGGGTGGGAATCAGGCTAAGAGACAGCAGGAGGCCAAACCGTATCGCCAGATGAATCACTGGCATCCATTCCTCCCAGGGCTACTATTATTTTTATTTTATTGTGAATTGAGTGATAGTTTACATGGGAGAACATCAGCTTTACATTCATCGTATCATATTTTGTTTCATTACAATGGCTACAATCCCCTCCATGCATCATCATTCAACAGCATTTGCTTCTGTTCCCTCTGGGTTTTTTTGTTTTGTTTTGTTTTTTTCTGGATGTATACCCAAGCACTCAGGAATATATAATCAAACAACCAAATAGTATATACCCTGCAAGCCTGCTCCGCCCCCACCAGCCCACAGCCTCTCTCCCTCCTTGAGTCTAGAGTCCCCAGCCGCTCCATCTCACACATCATCATCTCCTCTGCCTCCATCTCTGGCGTCACTGCTTCTCTGGATAGGGTCCCACACTCTGCTCTTTTTCCTTAATGGTTTCCTCTTGTTCAAGTATTGAAACCCTAGCTCCTAATCCTGCCATCCCAAACTTCCGTGACCTGGCCTCTTGGCTAATTCTGCAGATACCATCATCCAGTCTGAGCTAGGATTGAGGGACCTGGGTCTCAACTGGTTTTCTACTATTGTTGGACTAAGTTGGAATTTCATTTTCTTTTCTGTCAAGAAGGAGGGATTCAGTTAGATCAATGGTTCTTAGCTCTGGTAGCCAGTAGATTACCTAGGAAGAACTAAAAATTAATAATACCCGAATCCCATCACCAGAGATTGTGAATTAATAGCCCTGGGGGGAGGGGACCACACAGGCATTGTTGAACATTTTATTGTAGTTTAGGTGCACTGATACTTTTTAAAAGGTCCAGAAGTGATCCTGATGTACAGCCAGGGTTGAGAAGCACTGACATGAATGCTAAGACCTTTTTCAGGGTCTCTGCCTCAAACTGCACAGTGGTGTTTTGGAAGGGTGGCAGGGGTTGGGTGAGATTGGAGGCAGCAGCAGGGAACATAATGGGTAATTGGAGAGCTGGGGAGATTGATTCTCTCTTTCCACCCCGTGAGCCAGATCCTGCAGGCAATGGGGAAGTCCTATCACCCAGGCTGCTTCCGATGTATCGTTTGCAACAAGTGCTTGGATGGCATCCCCTTCACAGTGGACTTCTCCAACCAAGTGTACTGTGTCACCGACTACCACAAGTGAGTCTGCTCTCTGGAACACAGTGTGGGGCTGGGGCCAGAGAATTCTTAATCTCAGCTCACCTCCTTCCTCTCTGTTGCAGAAATTATGCCCCCAAGTGTGCAGCCTGCGGCCAACCCATCCTCCCCTCAGAGGTATGTCTGGGTTCTCGGGCAGGGCAGCCAGCTCTGCTGCCTCTGGGGAGGGGATGGGGACTTGTTGCTCGGCTTCCTGCAGGAAGCACTAGTGCTGAGGAATGCTCTCTGGGAAGATTCCCGTGTGACTCTGCTCTCGGTCACCACTCTGACCCACACATCCGGGCCTGGACATGTCTGACGGCTTCACTGGGCCCAGGCTTCATCTCTTCTATCATAGTTTAGAGGAGGAATCTTTGAGGTCATGGTAACTACATCCCAGATAGAAGGGCTAGGAAAAGGTGGGAAGAATTCTGAGGGCTGGTGGGCAGGGGTTCAGTAACAATTAAACTGTGTGTGCTAGAGAAGCAATAAGCCAACAGAGATCAGAACCCGCTGAATCCCCTAACCCCAACTTAGCCTGCTTTATTTGTACCACCCACCCTCACTCGCCTTCTCCTTGCCACACAGCTGGGAGAGGTATGTGGGGACATGCTAAGAGCAATGCCAGGGAGGGGAGGAGGAGTTGTGGTAGGCTTTTGAAGGCCATCTCAAAACTACCAGTGAGTTTAGAGTGGCTTGGAGGCCTTTGTGTGATCTTCCCATTGGGGCAGGAGTAAGGCCTGTATGCTGCTCACATATCCCCATGGGGGATCTGTCTGTCTCAGGGTTGTGAAGACATCGTGAGAGTGATATCCATGGACCGGGATTACCACTTTGAGTGCTACCACTGTGAGGTGAGTGTTGGGGACCAGGGCTGCTGGGGAGAATTGGAATGGGGGGAATGGTTTTGAGTGCCATCAAGTCAGTTCCATATCATAGCGTGTACAACAGAACAAAGCTACTGCCTGGTCCTGCCCCATCCTCAGAATCCTTGCTGTGTTTGAGTCCACTGTTACAGCCACTCTATCTGTCCATCTCGCTGAGGGTCTTCTTATGTTACTGACCCTCTACCTTACCAAGCATGATGTCCTTCTCCAGGGACTGGTCCTTCCTGATCACATGTCCAAAGTATGTGAGACATCATTGCTTCTGAGACGCATTCTCTCTGACTGTACTTCTTCTAAGATTGGTTCATTCTTCCAGCAAAAACACACAAACTCATTGGCACTAAGTTGACTCCACCTCACAGTGACCCTGTATAGGATCGAGTAGAACTGTCTTCTTAGGGTTTCTGAGGCTTTAAATCTTTTGTGTTTGAACTGCTGGCGCAGTGCTTAACCCATTATGCCACTAGGGCTCTGTGGGTATATTCATTATTTTTCACCAACCCTAAAATTCACATGCATCAGTTTTGCTTCTGTCTTCCTTATAATCATTGCCCAACTTTGGGGAATGCATATGAAGCGATTAAAAATACCATACCTTTATGTCAGGTGCACATCATTGTTAACATGACTTTTTTGCTGTTTAGCACTTTTATGTTAAAGAGGTCTTTTGCAGCAGATTTGCCCAAATGTATTTTGATTTTTTGCCTGCTGCTTTCATGGACATTGATTGTGGATCCAAATAAAGTGAAATCCTTGACAACATCAATATTTATCATGATGTTGCTTATTGGTGCAGTTGTGAGGGTATGGCTTTCTTTATGTTGAGGTTTTAATCCATACTCAAGACTGTAGTCTTCGATCATCATCAGAAAGTACTTCAAGTTCTCAATCACTTTCAGCAAACAAGGTTCTGTCATCTGCATATCATAGAATCATAGGGTGTTAGTCTTCCTCCAATCTTGATGCTAACATTTTCATGTAATTGTTAGTCTTCCTCCATATAGTTGAGGCTTTTTATTATTTGCTTATCATACAGATTGAATAAATTTGGTGGAAGGATACAACCCTGACTCAGAGCTTTCCTGACCTTAAACCAGTGGGATGGAAAGAGGTAGGGCAAGGAAAAAGTCAAGTTCTAGAATAGCAAGGTGTCTATGGGAGAGGCGTAAGGCATGGAAAACCAGAAAGTGCTCTGATTTCTCTAATCCCTTTTTCATCCTCTAACCACTGTTCTGGGTCTAGTTGTATAGTCTTTTCTGAATGCGACTTCCCTAGAGTCAAGACTCTCAAAACTATTAACTGCTAGAAATAGGCTTTGCTCATTATTTCTGCTGCAGCAGCGACACCTGGTGTCCGGCTGTGGTATTTTCTTGAGTCTTGGCATCCATCCATTCTACCACATGCTCCTCAAACCTTTCTTTATTCCAGCAATTAGGAATCTGGTGTTCAGCAGATCAGACTTCCAGGATGTGTTCCGGGTCTAGGGTGCCTGGACTGGGTTGAATTCGGTGTCCTCCTTTCCTAGGATTGCCGGATGCAGTTGAGTGATGAGGAAGGCTGCTGCTGCTTTCCTCTGGATGGGCACTTGCTTTGTCACAGCTGTCACATGCAGCGGCTCAACTCCCGACAGCCCCCTACCAACTATATCTGAACTGCCGCCTCCGCAGCTGCTGCCATCACCACCACTGACAAACTCCTGACCAGTGGGCCCTTCAGGCGAGTGGAGGCAAGGAATGCACTCTGCACTCAGCTGGCTGGGCGAAGAGTCCTCGGGAAGGGCCTTAGGGCCAGAGACCCAAAGATTATGACATTCCAAATGGACTGTGGAGAGAAACCTTCCCATTGCCGATGGGGATGACTGGCCTCTCGGCATGTGTGGCCTGTGTTCTAGCTTGCCCTCAGGCACACACAGGCAAGTTCCAGTACTTTCTGAAGGTCTGTTTCTAATCTGTATTTCCAGTGTCTGTGTATAAGTCAAGCAATGTTCTGGTTCTGAATTACAAGAAAAAAGAGAGGCCATCAAGGGTGCTCCTCACTCTCCCATACCTACACATAGCACTAGATAATGGGACCAGCCTAATCCCTACCACAATATCTTGTCTGTGCATCTGGATGAAGAGGTGAAACTCTGGACCAGTTTAATGAGTTCTTTCTTGGCCTTGTTCTCTCTTAAGGAGTAGAAGAGCTCCTCACCCCTCTGCTGGGAATGGGGACCAGTGCTGGCTGGGCCTGCTGCCTGTATTGCCTGTTTCTCAGGGACTCACATGGGCCTGGGGGAGGTGAGGTGGGTACCTGGACTCTGTTTCTCTTACAGGGCGAGGTAGTGAGAGGGCCTCTGTGGGTGTGCAGCTCCCTGGGTGGGACATCTAGGGATTCTGGAGCTCTCCAGCCCAGTATGCACACCTAGTACATTCTCTGTCTCACGCATTTGCACATACACACACACACACACACACACACTCACTCTCCCCCTTGGCTTCCTACCTGAGCTCACTCCTCCAGACCTGCCACCTCTCAGAACTCCAGGATCATATCAACTGCAACCCCAAACCTCTGGGATTCTGGGAGTCAAAGGGAGTAAAACACTTGGATTTAGTACTAGTCAGTTTGGCTGAAACTAGTTCACCTAAAGCTAGATTACGTAAAACCAGTTCACTGAGATTGTGTTGACTTAATGATCAATTTGCCAAAAGCTCAATCCCCCTTTGGGTGTTTTTATATCCATTTAGGTGTCCTTTTCTTTTTTATCATGCTTTTGAGTATTTTGAGGATTTATATCTATTCATCCAAGAGTAATTTTGAGTTATTATAAATTTATCAAATTTGCAGCACCTTGTAATTGATGAGATTGTTTCCTACTTTTATGAATGTCTTTTTTTCTGTCACCTACTTTTTTAAAAAGTTAAAGTTTCTAGCAATAAATATAATTGGTACAGATATTCTGTGTATCCTTTTGTGTTTCTTAATAATCCTTTACAAATTAGATGCCTTGAAAAATGTAACTGAACTCAATACAATTTTGATGCTTTGACCTAACTTCTACATTCCTACTGTTAAAATGCCAATATAGCCCTAAACAAGCAAACAGGTATATAGCATATTCAAATGACTAACATAGGTTTGAAGACAGCAGTAATAAGTTGAAAAAGGTGAATCTGCTACATCCTTTGAAATGCTGCAGATCTGATAAATATTTATTTTAAACTAACTGGTTCTAGGTGAATTGGTTTTAGGCAAATTCATTTGGTAATCTTTGATCTTTAGTCTTCAGTCTCTGCCACTTAGAGTTTCACACGGGAGTGATGAGGCCAGGAATTCCACATTTGGCTTAGTCTCTGCCAGCCATTGTGGGAATTACATAGCAGAGCCCTCCCTCGGAGTGAGAACACACCAGGAAGCTTTGAGTTCATGCACACTGAGGGCCAGAGGGAGGAGAAAGACCTTTCTTTGGAGGGATAAATGTTCTGAAACTAGATTATTTGTTCTGGAGCTGGGGTTGCTTCTTCTGAACTGTTATGAAATAAGTGACTACAATAACCCTGTGCCTAGGACCTTTGCACACCAGGCTGCTCATGCCCGCGAAGTCCAGAGGCGCATGTGCAGCTTGGTATCCATCTCTTCAGTTCCACGCGTTTCCTCTTGCCCACTCTCACTCTGCTCCTTGCTTTTTACTTTGATCATGTCCCTCCATATGTTTCTGACGTGACTCACTCATTCCTTTCTAGGTGTCTGCTGATTTGTTCCACCCTTTTTGTTATGTGCCGTGGAGTCGGTTCCGACTCATAGCGACCCTGTACAGGGTTTCCGAGGCTGTAAATCTTTATGGGAGCAGAAAGCCTCATCTTTCTCCCGTGGAACAGCTGGTAGTTTTGAACTGCTGACTGTAGGATTAGCAGCCCAATTTGTAACCACTATGCTACCAGAGCTCCTTGTCCCACCCTTAAAGCTCTCAAATACTGCTCTTGTCACTGGGGCTACTCTTTACCTTCTTCCTAAGGAAAAACAAATGATAACGTATGATGAGCACAGGCCCAGCACACCACTGGCAGGCTCCCAGGTAAACTGGCCATCTCAAGAGCATCCCTTCCTGTTAGGAGATTGCGCCTTAGTTCTAGCTTAACATTTCCAGTTCATGGTGAAAGATTTATGGGAGAAGGCCAAGGATACAGCAGAAGATAGGCCTTGCTGGCCAATTTGACACCTGATTCTCATCAACAGCTAATAGTCATGAAATGGGGAGAAGGGAAGAAAGGAAGAATTAAGGGATCCATTTTGAATCAGGCATGGGTCAGACTTTCAAGAGCAGATTTCCTCTATTTGCTATGGCCAGCTCCATTCCCTATAGATTCCAGCTGTGGTTTATCAAGAACAAGGCTGGTGATGGTTGTCTCTGCCTTACTCCTTAGAGACTTAACTGCCTCCACACCACCACCTGGAGTTCTCAAGGCCTCAGGGAAATGGGTAAGCTTTCATTTATATTCTGGCTGAGACTGCCCTTAGTCAAGGAGGAGGTAGAGAAAGAGCTATTTCCAGGTTCGTAAAGCCAGTTGTTCTGATATGATACTGTGGGATAAGCACTGGACTTCTAACCAGAGGGTTGGCAGTTCGAACCCACCAGCAGCTCCTTGGAAACCCTATACAGAAGGAATGGGGACTGCCTTGCCAGAACTTAACAACAAACAAGCCAGTTAGCTGAGGTCCTTGAGATAGCACTAAAGCAGGGAATGAAAAGAGACCCGTAGATCTGAGATAAAAGAACTGGAAGTAACAGGTGAACTAAAGTATCTTGGGGAGTCCTGGTGTGACACTGTAGGATATAAGCACTGGACCACAAGGTCGGTTTGAACTGCAGGATCGGCGGTTCAGTCTCACCAGCTGCCCCTCAGAAACCCTGTACAGGGTCACTGTGAGTTGGAACCAACTAGATGGCATTTTAAAAAAATATTTTTAATCTACTTTGTGTTTTAGAAACACCTGTCTCCCACAAACTGGCTTAGGGTCATTCAGAACCCTAATGGTAAGACTTTACAACAAGGGGCTGACCAATCCCACTTAACCGTAGTTGTTTGACTTTGAAAACATTGAGCAAATTATGACACAGATTAAAGCGGGGAGCGCCTTGGCTCCGTACGATAAGCACTGCACTGCCAACCACAAACAAGGCCAGCTGTTTGAGCCCAGTAGCTGCTCCATGAAACTTTCTGCTCCCACAAAGATGTACAGACTCAGAAATCCTATACAGGATCACTATAGGTCAGAACCTATTAGACGGTACTTAATAGATTACAACAGTTTGACTGTAGGAGAGTCAATGAAGGCAAATTCTACCCACTTTACCTAAATTTGACCTCTCTTGTAAAGGAAAGTGCTGACGTGTGTGATGGGAGCCCGGTGCCATCCAAGCATGAGAATACCTACTAAAGGTTACTAGTTAGGCTTGTATCCTAGAAGGTTTAGAGCCAAATGGGTGCAATCTTAGCAATTAGTTAACCCTGTCACACATATACGTACTAGAAATTTAAAACAAGATGCCCTTCCAACTTTCTAGTAGTAAATAACTTACCCACTTCATCCCAGGGACCCCAAAGGAATATATATATATAGATTACTTGTCAGCATGAAAGAGGCAAACACTTTGCTGGGATAGCCAGATTAGGGGAAGTTTTCATGGAAAAGCTAGGGAACACAAGAAGGAATGAACATTTTTGGTTCATATATGTGCAGTTTTGTTATTAGATAAAAGAATTAGCAGCGACCAAAGCAGATTTGAAAGCACATGAGCAGAAGCAATCATATGGCAATAGAGTCCCTGCCCTTGAGGAGGCTGCAGTCTAGCCTGGGAGACAAATAGGCACATAAAATGCCTCGAGAAGATTACAAGCATCATGCCAACAAGTGCGAAGTCATTTGAGTGTTAGAAGCAAAAGATCTAATGCCACAGGGTACAGAGCAGTGATCGAGAGTATGACCGACATCTTGTGAGGCTTAGATTGGAGGTTACAAAGTGGTGGCCCACAGACTAACTCCTGCCCTGAATGCATTGGGTTTGGCTCACTGAGAGTTAGCATTTATAATATTAATTAGAACTGTTGACGAGAGAGATTTTCACACGAAAACACCAGCTAAATGTAGATGGAATATTAGAATTGGAACACAGTATTTTGTGAACTCGAGTAAAATTGATCTAGGCAAGGATGACTAATTGGTGAAATGGTTGACAAAGGACTGGATGTTCGATTAGTGCCAAATAACATCTCATAGTGTGGTCTTGAGGCACAAAAGGAGGGACCACCACCTGTGTTTTGAAATTACTTCTGTTCTGGTGTGATGTAAGTACACAACCCAAGCTAGTATTTATGAGGGGATTTCAAAAAGTTTGTGGAAAATGGGGTTGGGAAAAAAAGAAAAAAAAAAAGAAAATGGGGTTGGAAAATAGTGGAATTTTCCATGAACTCTTTGAAGTTTCTTATTTGTTTCCTTCCTCCCAAAGGAAATACTAAAGCTAACCCACCCCTGCCATCAGGTTGATTCTGAATGTTAGTGACCCTGAGTAGAGTTTTCAAGACTGTAAATCTTTACTGGAGCAGCCACATCTTTTCCCCATGGAGCAGCTGGTGGTTTAAACTGCCAACTTTGCAACGAACAGCCCAA